ACAGGAGCCCTTCCCCACCTCAGCACTGCAGATCAGTGTGGACAGATGTAATTGATGGTTCCAGACCCAGCCTGAGCGTACCCCATGGATTCGGCAGAACACGGAGGCAGGTGAGCAGAGACAACTTCTTGAACTGGGTCCCAGTTTTCACTCGCAAGTCTGGATGATGAATGGCCAAAAAGCTTCAAGGAATTCTAAAGTATCGAGTAACATTTGGAGAGCGGAACATTCGATATTTTAAGAATAATATCTTCGCTTTCCAAAAAGCCCAGGTGCCTGTGACTGGGTAGGGTGACCCACCCATCGTCCCTCACAGCACTTTTTTTCCATGATTTCACCAAATCAGTAACATCTAGCAGTAACGATGACCACTAAACTGACAGCCAACCTCTTGAGCTCATCTAACAGTGAGATTTTAATCTTTAGAGCTGCAGTGTACTCAGGACACTTCTGTTTGATAACATTAACAGCCGCCTACCTACTCCACTTCACTTGAAAACTTTGCCTTCATCCATAACTTTTTCAGCGCCTGTCAAAACTGCCAGTGTGGAACCAGTGGGAAAACCAGATCCCAAGGTCTCCAGAAATAAAAGCCCAGCACAAACCAATGTGAATTTACAAAACCAACAGGCTTAAAATTTAAGACTCTGGGAAAAGAGACTAGGAACATCCGTTTTTGCAGCCAAGATATACAGGGTTTTCTTCCAGTCCTACTGTTTTCAAATCCCCTTATACAGCACAGGCATTGAAGATATGCCTTCATTACTGGACAGGAAAGTACTGAAACAGAGTAATTTAAATAAAGGAATGTTGATCTAATTGGGCAATGTTGCAGACAGTGAGCTGATGTTGGATAAAATCCTAAAGTTATATTTGCTCTTCAGTGTTCATCCGTAATTCCTATTAGCATAAATATGCTACTAAATCCCCCACAGTAAGCAGCTGTGGTAAATGACTTCTGTAGGCTTAAAACCAACACTAATAAAGTATTATTTTGTTTTCCATTAATAAAAATAACAACAGAGGCTCATATGAGATGTGCATACACATGTTTTGTTCCACTGGAGTGTTATTCATGAGCACGCAAAGTTAGTTTTTCTCTGAAATCTGTGTCACTGCAAACCAGCTACATACGCTATTGCCTGTCTATTGTGATCCGTACCACCTCCAACTTACACCAGTTTTCTATGTACAGCCCTGGGTCCACACAAAAGTTTTGAGGCCACCTTTATATCACTTCTCCTTGATCAGTTTGGTTTCCCATTAAGTCAGGAACTCAGGAAAAACTGCCTGAGCCACTGAATCCAGTCCTCTACAAGCCAGGAGAAAACCACAGTAGAAATTTCAACACGCTACAGGTTATCTGATCTATATACCATCACTCGGGGTGGGGGGATAACACAAAAAACTCTAAAAACATTTTAAAAAGAAGAGTGGAAAAGCCATAAATATAACATGTCACAAGAAATGAGCAAAAGAGGTAAGGCAAGGCCAGTGTCCTAAGTCTGTACAATAGCTTGCAGTATATTACACATTTATGGTCTGAAGAAATAGGGAAACTGATACAGATGAAATTATCCTTAAATCCAAGCAGCTACTGCAGACTTGCTAAGTGTGAGATGTGCTGCTAGGGATTACAGAAGATGTCAGTGAAGTTACACACAGGCACATACACAGTAGTAATAAAAGGAAAACATTTCAAAATAACATAATATCCAAACAAAACTCTAGTCTTTGTATAAACCTGTTTCTATACATAATCTTTCCAAGTGCCCTTTATAGAATTTAGGCAAAACTTGAGTTACTTTCTTTTTTTAATAGGAAAGCAACATGAATTGAGGATTCTAATAAAGCATTTTATACTACATTTCACAACATCTTACGGGAACATCAATTCAAAATATCTCGCAGTGCTGAGAGATATGGGTTGGAATCTGGGTTCAAAGATCATAAATGTGAGACAACTGTGTACCTACATTATGTAAACTTGCCTTTTGTCCATCTTTATTCAATTTATTTACAGTCACCATAGGAACCTCAGAAGAAAGCACCAATGCATTGGAGAAATGCCTGGTGAAAGTTCTGAGGAAAACTTGGGTACAGTTTGTGGACTGATATAAAGTCAATGCAATGTTGACTTTGGCAACAGAGAAAAATCCCAAGGGGATGGAGCTACCATAGCCTTTCTGAGACCACCAATAAGAAAGAAACACAGAGTTAATCCACCAAACCCTAAAACTCCCTAATTTTTTTTTACCTTGCGCTACACTCACTCAAGGATACAGTCCCTATCCCTTTGTTATTCAGCTGACTGCATGATGGAGGCAGAGTTGGACACGGATATAATTTAGTAAGTTTGTGATCTGACTAGAGACATTTGGCACACTCTGAATAACCAGCGCTTCAGTAACATACCGAGCTTGATTACCTTGGAGCTTCTGACAGGAAAAATAATGTTTTCCTTAAGGCTGAAACAAATTCTACTGAAAACAACAGCAACCCAGGACCAAAGTCAAGGTGCCATTTCTATATTGCTATTGATTAAGCTCACAGGAGGACTTCTGCTCCACTGTAATGTAATACCTACCCTTTGGTACCTCTCTTTTATGCACTTTGGCCTATATATCCCATGAGCCCTTTACTCTCACTCTAAAGAGCCAACTGATCCAGGCTGCTTCTCAACCATCCATAGAAAACTGTATTCCTCAGAAGAAATTATTTCCCTCTCCTTCTCCATCAACTGACTTCCAAAGCTAAGCCAAGATAAACACACCACAAGCATACTTATATGGTGCACAGCCACCTGAAATATGTGGGGTTCGCTTCATTTCCAAGCTACATTTGTCTTGCATAGTGCTTAACTACGGGCATAGACCAAAATGTTATGGCAATAAAAAAAAGGATTCTGAATAACATTGTTGAAAAATAAGTTAAAACAGAAATTTAAGAAGAGTTTGGTGAATCCTGAAACAGGAAAAAGCAGGGTATGTCATTTCAGCACCATGCCTTTTCTTCAGTTCTTGATCCTGTCTCAGTTTTTAAAGCAGATCCCTCCCTCCAACTTCTTCATGCTCTTTAAATCAAGGGCCCCACAGGACTAAGGTAATCCATATGCTTATTATCAGTTACACACTACTCGGAAGAGTCAGTTCAGCAGAATTATAACCCCATCACACATACTTTCCTACTGTCTGTTACCTCGATCTCAGAAAGGCACACTTAGAGATAAAATAAACAGAATGTGGCAAACCTGAGGTCTATTATGTTTTCAAGAACTGGTTTTATCTACACTTTTGCTAGACGTCAGAGCAAGAATATTTTTATGAGGTATTTGATTAAATATCTTTAAAAATCATCAGAAATAAGTAAATGTAACTGATGCATGTAAGCAAAGCATCAGCTATATATTCATTACTGAGTAGACACAGAAGCCACTTTTATCTTTCTTTCAGACTTTCTTATTGGAGATGACTGGATCAGGAATTTCATATATGAGACTACTCTTGTGTTTATTGTTTTAGAAAGGTCCTATACTCAGCATGGCCTGGTGGAGGATGAGCAGTTGTTTCAGCAATTGTGATGTGGTAAGAAAGCTGCTGGACACACTCAAATAAATTAACATCTCACTGCCCTGCTACGGAAATGCAAATCCATCACAGGACAAGAAAACAAACAATTAGCAGAACCTTGCTTGAAAGCAGTGGTGGGTTTTTTTTACCACGGAGAACAGGATTTGTAATATTTACTCCTTTTCCCAATGGCAGCGAGAGAGCTTGCAGTGTACAGAGCCGGCGCGCTGTGGCAAGCCCGAGCAGCAGCAGAAGCGCCAGCGCGGGCTGCACCAGCAGCTGCTGCTGCAGGCAGGGAGGCACATCATGGGATCAGAGGAAGCCAGAGGGCAAACCCGCTACCAGCAGCTGCTGCTGCAGGCAGGGAGCCACATCATGGGATCAGAGGAAGCCAGAGGGACACACTGCTATCTGGGGAGCGTTGGACAAGGCAGGAACATGATGGGTGTGCTAAGGAAGGAAGCACACAAGCTCAAACCAGAAGGCTCTACAGCCCTCAAGGTAGAAGCTAGCTGCACTCAGATGAGGGCTGGGGAGGGGAAGAGAGCAAAGCTGGTGGAGCTAGGGGGGCAACAAGCCTTCTATAATTTCTATCATAAGCACTGTGTAGCAGCAGATGTTCAACAGCAGACTAGTAGGAGATCTAAAACTCAAGTGAGGACTGTTTCTGGCCCAAGGAAGGTCCCTCACCAAGTTTTTATCTGTAATAGGCTGTTAGTTCCCCTATGGACTTGTTTTCTATTATGCACTAAAGGAATAATATACAAATCAGACCGTCACCTCAAACAGAGCCAACAACACAAAAAGAACAAGATGCAGATCCTCCATCATTTCCTAAAAAAGAAGTATCTGGATGCAGATCCACAAGATTTAGGCAGTTTGCATTGTGCTGTGGTTGTGTGATGCTCTAAAAACAAACAAACAAAAACCCATCCAAAAGGCAAAACAGAAGCACACCACTAATGATTTGAAACTTAATTACATAACTGACATGGCTTTCGCTTCCTTTCAGCATGATTTTTTAAACCCGTGGGTGAAATATGCTCCTGCATGCCATGCCTCCCGTAGCAGATGCCCTCTGAGCATCTGCAGCTTGAGAAGCAAATAGCAGGTATCAAGTCCATGCCTTTCAGGCACGAAACTCTTATTAGTAGACTAGCCTTACTAGCCTTTAATTTACAGTCTTTTCTAGTGGGTGCATGTCAGCTCCACTACCAAGAGATTTAATTAGTCTATAATTTGACATTGCAACACATTGGCTAGACAGACCAATGAAGAAGGACGTGTATGGAGCTGCAGAGCAAGCTGCAGACTTGCATTAACTTGGAAGCAAGGACAACCACCATGTCCAAGCCAACTTGTGCTAACCGCTGTGGCAGTATCATAAATAAGTGAATAAAACACAGCAGAATGCTGAATCTTTGTCCATACCTGAGATACAGAAGGTCGAGGGGGCAGTGCAGGCGGTGGTGGGGGCAGCCATCCAGACCTCATAGCTGAAGAGTGAGAAAAGAAGGAAAACACAAAACCAAAACCACATTAATTTAATTCCAAATAAACCCACAATTCATTTCCATGATAATTCCTAGTGAAGAGGCAGTATTCAGCCTCTTAATAACAGAAACCAAACTTCATCTTTATCTAGCAAAACCCTGTCTGAAATAAGTTCATGAGTAGTGAATGAGTTCTGATTTAATTGCTGTAAAAACCCACAATGTTATGATAAAAAGCAGAGATGGAAGCCAGTCAGCCACAAAAGCTTTAGCTAAAGCAATCAAATTCTAGTTAAAGAAGCCTAGAAACAGGGTCTACTTGTCCTTGGGACTTTGTAGTTAACATTACTGTCTTTTTTAAAAGTGATGCTTTAGTAGCCAATGTAGACATTAGCGCTCACTCCAGATAAAACACATTATGTGATGGAGTGCAGCCTTAAAAAGAAAACATTCACCGTGGAATGAATAGGACAAAAGCCTAAACGAACTAAAAAGAAATCTGTTTCTTTGGCTTTATATTTTGTATTTGTATGTTTTTATTCATCAGAGGTATTTCAGAGCGAGGAGAAGAAATAAGGGGGGGGGAAGACAGACCCTAATGGTCGGCTCAGGCCCCTTTAACATAATGCAATGTTAGCTTAAAAGTTTGAGCCAGCACAAAGGGAGGGCAACAATCATGTAAGTTCAGCCACCGTAGTTTTCAGTTGCCTTAAAATACCTAAAACCCATCAGGAGACAAAATTACAGGACAGATGATGGCTTCCTAAGGCAGCTGCAGAGACGAGGACCAGGCTGGCACAGAGACACCAATCAGGACTGGTGGGAGTCCTTCAGACCCTCCCCAAGCTCCTGTCCCACTGAGTGCTCAGCACTGACAGAGGTATTAGACAGCTCACCTTGCACTGGTGCTTATTTGTACAGAAAAAAGAAACCCAAAACCCAACCAATATTAAACTTAGAAACGCCTTTCACCACAATAATGCTAAGCAAGCAATTACATTTGTACACTTTTTATTTCCATGCATATTTTAAAAAGCCACAATGACTACTACAAACCTTGTTTTAGCTTAGCTATTTACATATTTTATATGCCAAGTCTAAAAATGTCTACATGGTTGAAAATATGAAGACAAAAGACATTAACCATTACAGACAACAGCAACACAGCAGTAAAAATCTGTAGGTGAAAACGTTGAGAACAGTCATACTGACTATATCTAGCTCCAAAGAGGCTTATAATACATTGGGGTTTCTACACTTTCTGTATCATCATCTCTTGAATCAAAATGAAGCCTAACATCACTGCACATAATGCCAAAGAGAGAGGTAGAACAATTAAAACCCAACTCAGGTTAAGCAAGGGAGCCACTAACACACCTATAGATGTAAGAGAGATCTGTAAAAACATGGTCAATAGGATCCTTTCTCTTGAGTTTAATTAGTTCTGTTTATAAGGCCACTGCAATACCAGCATGAGGTCGTCACTACCTTCTTCACCTCTTCTGCACAACTGATTGTTAGAAAGGAAACGTGGAGTAAGAAACCTTCCTTTCCTTCAGTCTGAACTTCAGGTTATTACTTCATTTACCTGAGCACTGGCAGTGGCTTTGGCAGTTACAGCAAATAACAATATTTGAAAACATCATCTGACTCAAACACCAGTGCTCCCAAAAGCTTTACTGCAAGAGCTGCATCCATTGGGGACTGGCCTTGACCTCAGCTCTGGAGAATACAGCACTTAACTGTCCTTGCTCACCCGTTCTTCAAACCCAGTGATACACCCAGGAAAGCAGCAGTGTTCTGTATGCTGAAAGGCGCTGGGCTTGCTAGAAAAGCATCTCCTGAAGCGGCTGCACACACTGTGGGACCTCACAAGTCTCCTGGGATTTGGCCCACAGAATTCCGAAGGGAAAAGGAAGTTTTCTCTAAGATGGTCAAATAAAAATAAAAAAAGCCACCAAAAAAGCCCATCCCAAAAAACCTGCTTCTTCAGCTTTCAAAATAAAAAATACATGAATTTAGCATTAAAGAAGTTAGATGCTTACATTATGTGCATTTGACCCAGTTTCCTCTTTTTTAATCCTGCAAATTCTAACTTAAGCTACTCATGAAATATTCATAAAATTCCTGACTGCTGTTGCAGAACATCTTCAGCCTGTTGTTAGAAGGAAATCATGCTTATGTGAGCACAATTGCTAGACAAAAGTTAGTTGACTTTTGAGGACTTTTAACAACTTATAAAAAAACCAACTCACTTTTTTTCCCCCACAGGGCAATGAAAAAAAAATTAATGACAGATACTGCACATTTCAGCCTTCTCTAGTGTCACTACCCTAAAAAAGGACAGTATTAACAGATGCTCATAGGTTTTTATGTGTATCAGCAGGTGACATGTACTATTAGGCTATTCCAAAATCTTTCTTTCCTGGGAGACTGGCCCGCACAGGCAGGCTGGCTCTTGCTGTTAGAGATGGCATTGCTGCGTTAGCTCTGAAAGTGAACACAAATACAGGGGCAGGTCTGTTTCCAAAGTGAAAGCAAGCACCCTGGGACCGAGCAGCAGACTTACAAATGGCGTATTTCCAGGTGCACACCCCAGAGCTTGGAGAAGCTGCATACCATTGCCCTCTGAAAACAAGTCTTCCCACCCTGTGCAAAGAAAAAGGGAGTGGGATGGTCCCCACGCAGGTCGTCTCGTTACCAAGCAGCTTGGTGGCATTCATGCCAGAGTGAGCTGTGTAAGCAAATCTCAGAGATAGCACTGTGGAAAGGCCATACAGGCACCAGTAAAATAGATTTAAGCATAGCCAGTATCAATATCGCATGTATTCCTGTAAATGATAGCATTTTCATGCACTAGTTACTCCCACAAAGACAGTGATAAGGCTTTCAGTTCAAAAATCACGGCTCCTTACTTAGCATGTTTACACTTCAAGGCGGATTATCTGCATGGAAAGTTTCCAGGACCATTCTGCTGCCCTATTTTGGCAATCACAAAGGTCTGATAGCACTAACAGGACACCATGCAAGATAAAAAAACCAGGTTTTCCAATCTGAAGCTAGATTAATATTTTAAAACAAACACCATGTTGCAATGCTACACTCTGAGAACAGGCCATGCCATCCTATCCAGCCACACTGCTCTGCCTTCAGCCACTCTAGCAGATAACACAAACTCTCAGTATTTTCATTACCCACAGTAGTGAAAAACAACAATCATGGTGACCATCTGAGTACCTCCTTACTTGACTTGTTTGATCTAGGAAGAAGAGACCAAAGAAGAGACACAGAATTACAACAGTCCTGTCAAACCTATAGAAAGTAGGACTTTAGCTCACCAGGCACAGCAACAGGGGAGGATGCCAAAATTAGGGTGGAACAAATTTTGAGTTGAATATATATAAAAGCAGTGCCCTGCAAGAGGGGTGGTTCTCCTGGGTCAAGGGCATGCCGTACCTTTCTAGCCGAAGTGAAACTAGATACCACCTACCAAAGGAGGATGACTTCAACTCACCTCAAAACCCTACACACCTTTCATCTCATGATCAAAAGAGACACCCATAGTTTGGTCACTCCTCTTATTTCAGTCACCATTCCTAAAGGGACAAAGAAGCCTGCATTTCTCAGCTCACACAAAGGGTGCAGCCCTAACCAAACCCAGCCTAAATCCAGGCTGACCTGGATCCAGATGGCCTAAATCCAGGTTCTTGCTTCTCTTCTGCTTCTTCACCATCATCACTCTCACCCCTTTTGCAACTGGGTGGGGACCATCCAGGGACTTAAATTGGGATAAAACTCTGATAGGGTTCCTCAGGAGAGTCTGGTTGATGTGTTTGGTATTTTTCAAGCGGATGCTGCAGCACTGTTGGATCAAGGGAGAGGCTGGTCCCGTGGCAGATTCGCATCAGTTTACGCTGCTTCAGAGTGCTTAGCTTCCAGATCAGGTTTAAGGAAAGACCAACCAATTCATTTTATCTGGAAGCAAAGGATCTGCAATACTGAAAACAGTTCAAATAAGATAAGCCAACAGAATGAATTATTCTTTGTTTTCCTTAACTACCTAAGGCTTCAGTTTCTTACACAGTTTGGGAAGCCAGCATTTTCACCCTTCCACTCTGACATTATTTTGGAGAGTTTTTTTATATACTTTTCCTGCTTCATTTGTCAAAGGCAGACCACAGAAAAGTTCTGTGTCTAAGCTGGTTTCTGTTTACCTCTGTTTTACAAAACTTCCCTTCTTGTTCACTGAAATTGGTACTTGGATATCTCGTAATACTGATATAATTCTCTGCGCTCCTTCATTTATTTACATTCCTGACAACAGGAAAGTAAGGTGATTGTGAAATAACTGTTTTTGAAGAGATCAAATTTATTAATTCTCACTACTATGTCTGCAAAGAGTTGCAACAAGAAAAAAAAATAAAGCTGCAGCCAGGAATGTAAATTTCATGAAGGATTCTAGTAAGGTGGTTGTGAAATATCTATTTATCGATTTATCTGTTTCAATAATTCTTACTAATGTCTCCTCAAAAGGTAATAGCCATATGAAAAAAAATTTAGACACATTATACTGATATTGTTATCAGGTTTGTAGAAAGACTGTAGAAAGCATTGCCAGTGCCAGAATAACCTCTTTTCTCATAGTTTTGGGAACCTGCTCAGCATCAAAGCTTCATGCATCACAGCAAGTGGCACGCACACCTGATGTCACAGACACACTCTTGTTACAGGTATGTTTCATGTGCTAATACAGAATCATTCACACCTCAATTGCACAGAAAATTATCCAAGTACTTTACAAGAAATTAGGAAGAGATACAGCCACACCTTAAGCAAATAATGCTTCTGCACTAAGAACTTGCAGGTGTGACTTCATTTAGGACACTGCTGTGCTTACACATTTGATGGGTCACTTTCATATCAAACAAGCAAGACATCATTAGAGGTGATTTTCATGATGTCTTCTTAAGTGTCCTACCCATGAAATTCAGCATGTTTTAAGT